CATGAAGACTACACTGACCCTGGCACCCCTGGTGCTGGCACTGGCTCTCCATCTCACCTCTACTCAAGCTGCCAAGGCAGGCTTCCGCAGAGAAGGTCGATCCGTCCGCACCTGTTTACGTAAGTAGCCTATAGTTGTTGTATATTAATCTTTGTCAAAAGATGACTTGTTTAGTGTTGCCGTGTGTCAAGGGGACGGCAAGACAAGTGAAGGCGGAGCAACACAAGACTGTAAGGAGGGACGCAGTAGCAGCTTATTGTTACTTAGACTGGATGGGCAGAGTGGGCAGGTAAATCAGTCAGCTCGTGGTGATGAAGAATCACAACAACTGCTGTCTAGGTACTGCAGGTGTTCTTGGATTTTAGGAAACTGACTAAATATATGTTGAAGACAATGTCAACGTTATTAAGAAGTTTTTTGTATGACAAGATTACGATTGTGTAACAGCCTTAGGAAAAATTACAATTATAAGATGAAACAGACTGGAAACACACAGTGGGCTGGTGTACACTGAGACACAGTGGGCTGGTGTACACTGAGAGACAGTGGGCTGGTGTACACTGAGAGACAGTGGGCTGGTGTACACTGAGGCACAGTGGGCTGGTGTACACTGAGACACAGTGGGCTGGTGTACACTGAGACACAGTGGGCTGGTGTACACTGAGACACAGTGGGCTGGTGTACACTGAGACACATGGGCTGGTGTACACTGAGACACAGTGGGCTGGTGTACACTGAGACACAGTGGGCTGGTGTACACTGAGACACAGTGGGCTGGTGTACACTGAGACACAATGGACTGGTGTACACTGAGACACAGTGGGCTGGTGTACACTGAGACACAGTGGACTGGTGTACACTGAGACACAGTGGACTGGTGTACACTGAGACACAGTGGGCTGGTGTACACTGAGACACAGTGGGCTGGTGTACACTGAGACACAGTGGGCTGGTGTACACTGAGACACAGTGGGCTGGTGTACACTGAGACACAGTGGGCTGGTGTACACTGAGACACAGTGGGCTGGTGTACACTGAGGCACAGTGGGCTGGTGTACACTGACACAGTGGGCTGGTGTACACTGAGACACAGTGGGCTGGTGTACACTGAGGCACAGTGGGCTGGTGTACACTGAGACACAGTGGGCTGGTGTACACTGAGACACAGTGGGCTGGTGTACACTGACACAGTGGGCTGGTGTACACTGACACAGTGGGCTGGTGTACACTGAGGCACAGTGGGCTGGTGTACACTGAGGCACAGTGGGCTGGTGTACACTGAGACACAGTGGGCTGGTGTACACTGAGACAGTGGGCTGGTGTACACTGAGACACAGTGGGCTGGTGTACACTGAGACACAGTGGGCTGGTGTACACTGAGACACAGTGGGCTGGTGTACACTGAGACACAGTGGGCTGGTGTACACTGAGGCACAGTGGGCTGGTGTACACTGAGACACAGTGGGCTGGTGTACACTGAGACACAGTGGGCTGGTGTACACTGAGACACAGTGGGCTGGTGTACACTGAGGCACAGTGGGCTGGTGTACACTGAGACACAGTGGGCTGGTGTACACTGAGACACAGTGGGCTGGTGTACACTGAGACACAGTGGGCTGGTGTACACTGAGACACAGTGGGCTGGTGTACACTGAGGCACAGTGGGCTGGTGTACACTGAGGCACAGTGGGCTGGTGTACACTGAGGCACAGTGGGCTGGTGTACACTGAGGCACAGTGGGCTGGTGTACACTGAGGCAGAGTGGGCTGGTGCACACTGAGACACAGTGGGCTGGTGTACACTGAGACACAGTGGGCTGGTGTACACTGAGGCACAGTGGGCTGGTGTACACTGAGACACAGTGGGCTGGTGTACACTGAGGCACAGTGGGCTGGTGTACACTGAGGCACAGTGGGCTGGTGTACACTGAGACACAGTGGGCTGGTGTACACTGAGACACAGTGGGCTGGTGTACACTGAGACACAGTGGGCTGGTGTACACTGAGGCACAGTGGGCTGGTGTACACTGAGGCACAGTGGGCTGGTGTACACTGAGACACGGTGGGCTGGTGTACACTGAGACACGGTGGGCTGGTGTACACTGAGACACGGTGGGCTGGTGTACACTGAGACACAGTGGGCTGGTGTACACTGAGACACAGTGGGCTGGTGTACACTGAGACACAGTGGGCTGGTGTACACTGAGACACAGTGGGCTGGTGTAAACTGAGACACGGTGGGCTGGTGTACACTGAGACACGGTGGGCTGGTGTACACTGAGGCACGGTGGGCTGGTGTACACTGAGACACGGTGGGCTGGTGTAAACTGAGACACGGTGGGCTGGTGTACACTGAGACACGGTGGGCTGGTGTACACTGAGACACGGTGGGCTGGTGTACACTGAGACACAGTGGGCCGGTGTACACTGAGGCACAGTGGGCTGGTGTACACTGAGACACAGTGGGCTGGTGTACACTGAGACACAGTGGGCTGGTGTACACTGAGACACAGTGGGCTGGTGTACACTGAGACACGGTGGGCTGGTGTACACTGAGGCACAGTGGGCTGGTGTACACTGAGACACAGTGGGCTGGTGTACACTGAGACACAGTGGGCTGGTGTACACTGAGACACAGTGGGCTGGTGTACACTGAGACACAGTGGGCTGGTGTACACTGAGACACAGTGGGCTGGTGTACACTGAGACACAGTGGGCTGGTGTACACTGAGACACAGTGGGCTGGTGTACACTGAGGCACGGTGGGCTGGTGTACACTGAGGCACGGTGGGCTGGTGTACACTGAGACACGGTGGGCTGGTGTACACTGAGACACGGTGGGCTGGTGTACACTGAGACACGGTGGGCTGGTGTACACTGAGACACAGTGGGCTGGTGTACACTGAGACACAGTGGGCTGGTGTACACTGAGACACAGTGGGCTGGTGTACACTGAGACTCAGTGGGCTGGTGTACACTGAGACACAGTGGGCTGGTGTACACTGAGACACAGTGGGCTGGTGTACACTGAGACACAGTGGGCTGGTGTACACTGAGACACAGTGGGCTGGTGTACACTGAGACACAGTGGGCTGGTGTACACTGAGACACAGTGGGCTGGTGTACACTGAGACACAGTGGGCTGGTGTACACTGAGACACAGTGGGCTGGTGTACACTGAGACACTAAATCTTCATTGCACTGCATCAATAATTCTGCAAAAAATCAATCATTGTGAACATGATTTCGTTCAAGAATTAAACCATAGCAATGCACAATGCAAAATAAATACAAATGCAATTTGCATTATTAAAAACTGAAAACAAACTTTGAAGTCAGTTAAATATTACAGATAAACAATATTTTCACTATACATAACTTAGAGGATGACCGACCAGGAGAGATCACAACGATGTGAATAACAGAGAAAACCAGAAAATCAAGTTGGGAATAACAGAAAACCAGAAAATCAAGTTAGGAATAACAGAAAACGAGACAACCAACTTAGGAATAACAGAAAACGAGACAACCAACTTAGGAATAACAGAAAACGAGACAACCAGGAGCGTGAATAACAGAAACTATTTCAAGATGAATCAAATAACAGATAGATTATTAAGTCCAGGATAACATCAGACTTGAATCCATGACGAGTAACTTAAAACGTACAGGTCACTTCCATGACATGCTGGAAGTCGCATTATTAAGATTTCGTGAGTCTAAAGTGTAAAGCCCTCTAGACTTACTACTAGCCTACTAGCTGACTAAGAGGGCTAAGCTGCGGGGAACAAATATTTCAGAAAGTTCACCCAACATAAATAATGTTTAGATTAACACAAGTGAACTGATACACTGTTTACGGATGTAAGACATGTAAAGGATCCTCAAACATTAAGCGATTGTTTGTGACTTAATGTCTAATATAAAATGGGCTTGAGTTTAACTTATGGTCAAGTACGTAGAACTAAGAATAGCATAACAGACATTCTTAAGAACTGTCACTAGAAGTATTTTAGTGCAGAAGTTTTTTCCGTGATTTTTTTCAAAGCTTTCTGGAAATAGGTCATTGGATTGCTCTTACTAAATATTATTTTTTTAACATTCCAGCATCAAAGAAAGACAAACTAGAGCACAGTGAAAAACACTTCTTAGTTCAAATTTTTATTATATTTCTATTAAGGAATAAAGGTTTATACTTAATCCAAAATTTCTCTCTCTCTCTCTCTCTCTCTCTCTCTCTCTCTCTCTCTCTCTCTCTCTCTCTCTCTCTCTCTCTCTCTCTCTCCTCTCTCTCTCTCTCTCTCTCTCTCTCTCTCTCTCTCTCTCCCCTCTCTCTCTCTTTGAGTTATATAGAAGAGGCTTCTATTATTTTAGTCATTATTAAAGTCCAGGTATAAATATATTACATTCACTCTCGAAAAGGAAAATCATTTATTTCATGAAGGTCGATTACATCTGCCTTTCATCAATTATCTTAATTATATTTAGAGGATAAAATGTAATAACATCTTCAACAGTTGCTGTTCACTGTTCTACTGGTCTGACTTTCATCCAGGAAATTATAGCCGTAACAATTATTTTCATAGAGGAGCTAACCACTGTTGTATCTCCAAGAACATTGAAGTCAGAGAATATATATGGAGAAAGTACCATGAGTTACATACCCTAAGAATATCTAACTATAAGTTTCCTATCAGAAGAGTTGGTTGTTTGTAGAGTGAATCCGAACTGTAACATGAGAGCAGTGTTTTAAATTCTACAAGCCTTGATCCACCCCGGAGCCTAGTCACAGACCGGGCTGCGGGGGCATTGACCACCGAAACCCTTTCCAGGTATACGCCAGGTAAGCTAGTTACTCACAAATTAGAGTTCCCTTTCATATCTTGATTGGTAACACACTCAGCTCACACATTAATTGCTCGTGGTTCAACCCCCGGTACGGGTGGAAACACTGGGCGTGTTTCCTTAAGACACCTGCAGTCAATGTTCGCCTAGCAGTAAGTAGGTAACTGGGTGTTAGCCGACTGGTGTGTGTGTCGCATCCTGGGGACAAAATTAACCTAAGTTACCTGACACAGGACTCTGGCCTCACTGGCTAACACAGCATCCTGACACAGGAC